TGTGTGTGTGTCCGTGTCCCTGATTTCCTTTTCTCCTGCCTGACCAGCTGTAAATGCGGATGTGCTGCGTGCTTACGGTGGTGGGGTAACTGGGATACAAAGCGGCTTTAAGGTGGACCTAGGGAAAGTGAAGTAGGTAGCACCCTGGTGAATGGCTGAGCAGTGTGTACCCTCTGCGCGTTGAGAGCCTGTGCGCGCACACGCACACACACACACACACTGATTTCCTTTTCTCCTGCCTGACCAGCTGTAAATGCGGATGTGCTGCGTGCTTACGGTGGTGGGGTAACTGGGATACAAAGCGGCTTTAAGGTGGACCTAGGGAAAGTGAAGTAGGTAGCACCCTGGTGAATGGCTGAGCAGTGTGTACCCTCTGCGCGTTGAGAGCCTGTGCGCGCACACGCACACACACACACACACACGTGTGCGATCCGGGGAGCTGCACGCATGTGTGTGTGCGTGTGTGTGTGCACGCATATACGGCTGTGTTTACGCAAACACACTCTATTGCCATGGCTGTGACTACAGAGGGTCTGTAATTGAAGTATAATTATAGACATCAGCTAAAGATCATAGAAGAGCCTTTGCCATTTGCTCCGGAATTTATTGCCCTCCAATGCAAAGTAGCATCAGAATGGTCTTGCTAAAAGTTTAACTTTCAAAAAAAGCAACGCGACCCACAGTCCAGCAAACATAAACTGGGGAAAACGGGAGAGGAGAGGAGTCATTAGCAAACACTGGGAGTAAATGTCTTAATAAGGGATTATTAAAAATAAATGCCACCTCAGTACAACCCTCTCCCCCCCTCAGCACCACTCCTGGACAGAATAGTTCAATTATGTGAAGTTCACTTGTAAGTCAGAGAAAATCCGCGATGCTATGGAAGTGCGCCCACGGCCCCCGAAACGTGCTCTCAATGTCCAATACTTACAGGCTAATGAGCTGGGGCAGGAGGGCGAGGAGGAATGTGCCACAAACGCATTGGATCCTCAGTACAGAGGGCATATTCCTTGCATCGCTCTCTGACAATGAAGGAGCGGAGCAGAGGCTTTGAGGTGGCTTTAGGAGAGTGATAAAACAGCCCTGGTCCTTTTTTTTCCCCTTCTTTTTTTTCTGTGGGTTCCCCCTTACAGGCTAATGAGCTGGGGCAGGAGGGCGAGGAGGAATGTGCCACAAACGCATTGGATCCTCAGTACAGAGGGCATATTCCTTGCATCGCTCTCTGACAATGAAGGAGCGGAGCAGAGGCTTTGAGGTGGCTTTAGGAGAGTGATAAAACAGCCCTGGTCCTTTTTTTTCCCCTTCTTTTTTTTCTGTGGGTTCCCCCCCCGTGAATCCACAAGCTGGGCTGTCGGGCCACCGTTCCAAGGGTGCCAACGTGCCAGGTCTAAAATAACCTGGGAAGGTTTCATGTTACACATTGCCCTGCAGGAGCCGTGTTTCTCCAGCAGCCTGGACTTTATCTAAGAACCAAAA